CGCCACTCAGTGCTAGCCAGTGTTCTCAGTTTTCACATGTCTCCATTTATTTAATCCTCTGACAACTGCTCCAAAACAGGGCAAGGAAAATGCGGCCCAGAAAAACTCAAAAACTTGACTGGCTCGTCCAGCCAATGACAGACAGCTTATGCAGGGTCCAAAGCACAGCAGCCACTTTGGAGCCAGACCCAAACAGGGAAAGTGTGAAATGGAGGAAGTTGCTGAAATAAAGGGGCAGGCTGGGCTACAGTGACTGACGGCCCCCAGATCTGGGTGGGTGGTAAAATAAAGAACTATGGTTCTGTCTTGGAATAGGTTTCTCTGCCTACCAAGGGCTAGATCTCATTGGGAGTGGTCACCCTCCCTGAGGGCTGCAGCACAGCCAGATGGACCTTGGGATCTGACTCCAGCTGTGCTAGTGGGAAGATATTGGATTAGTCAGGATGCCTGGGTTGAACCTGGTCCTGGTCCAAGCTAGAAGCCCCACTTCTGGGCCTCTATGCTCCCCCAGTAAGGTGATGAGGAATGGGAAGCCTGTCATCAGGGAGCCCTCTACTCAGGACTGTCACATGAAAGCCAGGTGGGACAAGGATAGGTTGGGCAAGGAGGACAGTGGAGAGGAGCCAGATGCGACAAAGTCAGAGAAGCAAACTTCTGGCCAAATGCCTCTTTGCTGGCAGAGTTCCTGAGGTCATGTGGGTCTCTCTACAAGCTACCCCAGGAGATCCTCAACTTCCACCATGGAGGTTGGAAAGGCCTCTAAGAGAGGTGAGGATGGGGAATGAACCCATGTTAGGTTGGAAGGGCCCTCTAGCCTAGCTTCTAGGACCTTAAACTTTGGGAGATCCCTGAAGACATAGAAACCCTCCATTTTTGCTCCACATAAACTAAAGATAAAGATGCCAGTTCTAAGCTGGGTGTATATAGCAATGGGCCAGTAGCTCTCATACCTGTCCATCTTTTCAACTCACAGCTACTACTGAAAAACAGGTATCACCAAGTTCTCACTGACCTCCGCATCCATGCTCACCCCGGTGCTCCTAATGCCCAGCTGCAATAACTAAGCAATCTGCTCAAAACCCAGACTCAGCTGAGCACTGCCCACCACCATTGAAGGACCCATGGTAGTGAAGTCTCCCCACATCCCCTCTCCAGCACCACACTGATCCTTGCTTGCATTGACTTTCAGGAAGCATCTGTATCACCTGAGGGTCACACTGTATAGCTTCTAGTAGCTTCTGTTCTTTCAGCCCACATGCTCTTTTCCAGCCTACAACCCCTCTGCCCACCTCATAGCCTTCAGACACCAGCTTCCCCCAGGAAGCTCCATACATAGTCTGAGTTAAATGCCCCTTAGAAGTAACCAGGCCCAACCTCCAGCTTAACACAGCACTTACTACCCACATTAGCTCCATGAGGACCAGAGCTTATGACATGTCTACAACTGATCCATAAATCTCTGCAGGATAAATGACCATCCAACTTCTTTTTGTGTTTTTGGGTTTTGTTTTGAAACAGGGACTGATATAACCCAAGCTGTCCTTAATCACTCTGTATAGTTGAGGATGACCTTGAACTCCTGATCCTCTTGCCCCCACCTCTCAAGTTCTGGAATTACATGGTCTGTGTGGTGCTAAGGATTGAATCCAGGGCTTTGTGTATGCTAGGCCAATACTCTACCAGCTGAGCCTCACTCTAGCTCCTGGCTGCCAAACTTCTTTAGGATCACTAAATAATAGGATGTGTAATGTCTTAGTTAGGATTTATGTTGCTGTAATAAAACACCATGGTCAAAGCAACTTGTGGAAAATAGAGTTTATTTCAGCTTACAGTTCTCAGGTCACACTTCATCAGTCAGGACAGGAATTCAAGTATAGGAACCTGGAGGCAGGAACTGAAGCAAAGGCCATGGAGGAACACTAGTAGTCTGAATGTAATTGGCCCCCATAATCTCACAGGGAGTGGCATTATTAGGAGGTGTGGCTTTGTTTGACCTTGTTGGAGGAGATGTGTCATTGTGGAGGTGGCCTTTGAGACCTCCTATGCTCAAGCCACACCCAGTGTCTCAGTTCACTTCCTGTTGCCTGCAGGATCAAGATGTAGCCCCTTCTCCACTCTCAGTTCCTTCCCCAGCACCATGTCTGCCTGCATGCCGCCATATCCCACCATGATGATAATGGACTAAACCTCTGAAACTCTAAGCCACTCACAATTAAATGTTTTCCTTTATAAGAGTTGCTGTGGTCATGGTGTCTCTTCACAGCAACTGAAACCCTAACTAAGACAAACACTTTACTGGTTTGCTTCCCAAAGCTCACTCAGCCTGTCTTCTTATACACGCCAGTACCACCTCCCAGGCATAGCACCACCCACAATGGGCTGGGCCCTCCCACAGCAATTGCTAATTAAGAAAATGCACCAGAGGCTTGCCCACAGGCCAGTCTGGTGGGGACATTTTTTCAATAGAGGTCCCCTCTTCCCAAATGACTCTAGGTTGTGTCAAGTTAAAAAAACAAAACAAAACTGGTGGTGTCATCTTTCCATCTCGATAACAAACACCTGAAATAAGCAATGTATAGAAAGGTTCATTATACTCACAGCTGTAGAGGCACAGTCCATAGTCAGTTGGCTGCTTTCAGTACTGTGGTAAGATAAGTACTTCATGGTGAAGCCAAACTGTTCCTGATGGCCAGAGAGTAAGAAGAATGAAGGATACCAGGGCTCCCAGTGTGCCCTCCAGAGCACATTTCAAATGCCCTGACTCCCCCCCCCGCCCAGATGCCACTTCTTAAAGGTTCTACCATCTCACAGTAGTACCATCTTGGTGACCAAGCCTTTGCGGACCACTGCAGATCCAAAGTATAGCGGGCACTGTGACTCTAGCCCTGCCTTATTAAACAAGCTATTCCACTTCTGAGCATGCTTTTACCCAAGCATAGAATGAGGAGGCTGGACAGGCTTCGAAGTACCTTGTTGCTATAGTATGTGACAAGTTAGCAGGGCCGGGGACCACCATTATCATCCATATTGGACAATCATCAGAGATACAGTCCCAGACCTCACCAAGACCTACTGAAGCTCGACAGACACCCACAGAGTTATTTTTTAATCTTTTGTTTAGTTTTATTTTAGTTATGTGTATGAATATTTTGCCTGTGTGTGTACATATATATATACAATATATGTACACACACACACACACACACACACACACACACACACACACACACACACACTATGTGCCTGGGGCATGTGAAATTCAGAAGAGGGTGTCAGATCTCCTGGAACTGGAGTTATGGGTGATTGTGAGCCAGTATGTGGATGCTGGGAACCAAACCCAGGTCTTCTGTGAGAGCAACAGGTGCTCTTAGCTGCTAAACCATCTCTCTGGCTTCCCTCCCAGGGTTTCTGATCCAGGTATGTGAACACTAGAAAAGCCCACATAGGCTGTGAGTTGAGCTGTCCCCTTCTGGCTTCTGCAGGTAGATTTTGAAGACGTGATCGCAGAGCCCGAGGGCACCTACAGCTTCGACGGTGTGTGGAAGGTGAGCTACACCACTTTCACCGTCTCCAAGTACTGGTGCTACCGCCTGCTGTCTACACTGCTGGGTGTGCCACTGGCCCTGCTCTGGGGCTTCCTGTTCGCCTGCATCTCCTTCTGCCACATCTGGGCCGTGGTGCCCTGCATTAAGAGCTACCTGATCGAGATCCAGTGCATCAGCCACATCTACTCCCTGTGTATCCGCACCTTCTGCAACCCGCTCTTTATTGCCCTGGGTCAGGTCTGCGGCAACATCAAGGTGGCCCTGCGGAGGGAAGGTTAATGCCAGGCTGGGCGATGGGGAAGGCTGGGCAGGGGGAACTGGGAAAGGTGAGCACCACGGCTCTGCTCCACGTGGGCTGCCTGAGAGCTCATTCTTTTGCGGTTCCTTTCAATTTCACCTCAAGATAGGAACACACGGGACAGGGGAGCCAGAAGGAAATCACAGCCCCGTGTGCAAACACAGGCGCCCTTGCTCTGCTCAGCCCACCACAATCCCCTGCGAGCCTGCCTGAGGGGAGACGGTTTGTTAAGAGGCAGCTACCGCAAGGCTTTGCGTTCACATGTACTGTAATACCACAAACCAGCGCCAGTCCCCTAGAGGGTGACCCGGCTCCTCATGCAAAAGAGAGCAAGCAGTGACTGCTGGATGAGGAGGGTGCTGCAATAAAGGGTTTCGGCTGCACCAGGGAACACCATGCTTTGTTTGTCCGTGAGTTGGTTGTGTGTCCTTCTCTGGTTCTGAAACCTAGAAAATTCAGTTGGACCCCTGGGCAAATTAACCAGCACCAAGTTTTGTTTTCTTTACGGTTCTGTTTGTTTGCTGGGCATAAGGCTCGCCCATGTGAAGAGATTATTTTCACATGACTTCTGCTGCCCCCGAGGCTGCTAATGAGTACTCAGGGCAGGTGAGCATCCCCAGATAGGTCCCAGTCTCAAACATCTTGGAATCTCCCCTCTGGCTCAGAAGACACTGAGCCCAGAGCATATCTGGCTTTGCCATGTGACATGTGGGGCCATCAGCCCTAAAAGATGCCATGACTGTCTGAGGCCCCGGGCATATGTATCTGGGCCAGCTATGAAAATAACAGAGTGAACTCGCAACACCGCTTCATCTCCCCCAGAGTATAAACGCATACGAGTTTTCAGATTGCTCTCCACACATTCCCCATTGGGAACTCGGTCCCTTCCAGGTGACACTAAAGAATCCCAAGTCTCCAGTTAGACCACAGCACACGGTGGGGTTGACAAATCCCACACAGGGTTTGGTCCAAGATCCTCACATCTTCCCACAAACACATGAGCACACCTAGGACTCCAGGGAAGAATACCGGCCCCCCCTTCTTGCCCCTGCCACAGCCCATGCAGCTGTCACCAGCAGACAGGTGACCCTGGAGCCTGCCAGGAAACTGATATGAGAGGTCACTGTTTGGGGGAGGGAGAAAAAGGCAATGAAATATACAGGAAAAAAATGTTTATTAAGTGCACCTTTTATGAAGCAGCTGGTAAAGCAGGATTGACCACATCACTCACCAGATGCGGGGACATGGAGGCACCACACAAAGTCCATGGAAGAAGAATACCAAGGAATTCACACTGTGCGCTAAGTGGCATCTCATTGCAATTGAATACAGAACAGTTACATGCCGAAGCCAGGATCATCATCCAGGCAGGCTGCACAGACATCCCTTTGTGCTTCCGGAATGGATGACTCTGATTTGTACCAAAAGGAGACCACAGATTTTTAAGTGTAGATTTTTTTTTTTTGCAGGGCCTAAATAACTCTCACAGTTTGCACACTGACTCCTCATGGTCAGAACAATGAAACATTCCAGAATATTCATGCTCCAGTTTAATACAACCTCCAGCCCTGAACACAGATTGTAAACAGGAAGGGACATTGGGGATGTCAGGGGTGGGGCCTGAAGAAGGAGGACATAGGACACAGGATTGGGGGGGTGTTTGAGACCCCTAGAGATGCTAGGCTTTGATTGGAAAAATAACAAGAATTGGTGAAAATATTCCCCTATGGGATTGGGACGGGAGGTGCCAATCCAATGTTCCTGATGAAGTCAATCATTGCCTATGTCATAGACACAGGTGTCAGGACCATAACAAGACCCCAGGTACCAGCTAGAGATTCCACACAGAATGACACAGCACCCCAGGAGGTTTCAATGTCCGGAGCCTTACACCTCTGGGGATCCCAGGAACACTGTGCCCCTGGTCAGAATATCTGAGTTACTGTTCCTTTGACCCCTGGTGACACCTGTTGGCTCTAAGGAGGGCAGCTTCTCAGTGAACAGCAAGGACAAAGGACATCTTCAAAATGCAGATGCTAACAGACCCCCCCACCCTACTGCCAGTGTGCACCCAGGCTACCTGGGTGGTCTAGAACATGGGCACAAACGCCCCAAAGCAGAATCCTGCTGGCTTCTCAAAGAACTGGCTAGTGGTAACGCTGCATGCATGAGGTGGACCACTGTGCAATGCCTCTGAGTCCAAAGATGACATCGCCTCCTGTCTCCACCTGGTGCCAAGTAGCTTGCCTATAATTGCAGATGTTGAACATAGGCACTGCAGCACACGGCTCCCTCCTCCCTGAACACCAGACTGTGCTAGCTCAAACTTATGTGTGCATGTGGATATGTGTGTGTGTTTGGGCAAATAATGCAATGTGGCAGAAGAAAAATGTGTTCAGAAATGGGAGTGTGGTAAAGTGGATCTGCAGATTCGAGGCTTTTTGGAAGTACCCTTGATATATCTCAGTAAGTCCATAATTAGGTCTGGGTATTTCAAAGATGCTCCAGAGTGCATAGTGACCAGCCACAGACAGAAAACCACTAGTCAATTGTGTCCTGTATTAATGACTGAAGGTATTTCTGAGACAGAGTTGTATCCTGCCCTCAAGGCTGAGAGAACATTTGAAATCATACTTACTGGATAAACAAAACCTTTGAGACTCCTGGGGAATTGCTGTTCTAAAGAAGATGAGACACAGCAGCTGCAGAGCATCCCTTGGGCCTTTGTTAAAGGCAGATGGGAGTGATACCACTTTCCCTGGCCAGAATAGAGCCAGCCTCTGCTGTAGACACTTTGAGGTGGTAAGTCACAAGAGAAACAGTACTCGAGAAAGAGAAACTAAGAAATTCACCCATCATTTTGGTGTTCCCAGAACTCAGTGCATGAACTTCTTTTTCTCACATTTTTAAATATATATAGTTTAGTGATTGTGTGTGTGTGTGTCTGCTTGCATGTGAGTGTGTGTGTGTTGTACATCCATATGTACCTATAGAAACTAAAGGTTGACTTCAGATGTCTTCCTCTGTCACTCTCTTTCTTATTTTTTATTGACTTATTTATTTTGAGAGAGAGTCTTTTCCTGGACCCAAAGTTGATCAGTCTCCTAGGCTGGCTGGTCAGCAAGTCTCTAGGATCCATGTGTCTTCACCCCCCAGGGCTGAGGTTACAAACACCTGCCACTGAACCTGGCTTCTGCACGGATGATGGGCATCTCATCCTTGCTCAGCAGATACTGCTCTAAGTGAGCCGTCTCCTCAGCCCCTGGTTCAGTGATTTTTAATATGCTCTCAAAATTGTGCACCCACCACACATTTCAAAGCATGTTAACCACCTCAATTTCCATTTCCTTAGGAATTTTGGGATCAGTTTATCAATTTTTGCAGAAGCCAGCTGGGATTTTGATGAGGATTACATCACATCTGTCCAACAATATTACATCTCTGATCCATCAGCATGAGGTGTCCCCGTTTATTTAGTCTCCTTTAATTTCCTTCTGTGGTATTTGCAGCTTCTGGGGCACAAGTCGTACATTACCTCTGTTAACCCTGGCTCTCCCTTATTCACTCTGGCACATTTAAGGATGGAATCTCTTAGGTTAACTTTCCCATGGTTCACCAGAAGTCTAAGGAAATATGAATGAGTTTTCTACATTGACCAGGCACTGGAGCTGACATCTGTCAGCTCCAGAGTTGGGAGAGGGGACGGGCTACCTGCATGTGTGTTCCTTAGTGTCTCAAATGAACGGGTCAGTGTCATGTACAAACAGTTCTCCCCAGTCCTGTCTGTCCTGGAGGGCTCTCATTTATTTTTCTTTCCCAAATGTTTATCAAGCATCAGCCTCTTCAGCATTTCAGCCCATGTTCTCATTGCCTTCCTGAGCCAGGTGGCCTCCCAGTTCAGTCTCCACTTCCCAGTGTTTTCCTGCGACAAACTGGTCCCTGAGGATGCTAAGATCTGTCCACACAACTTGGGTCACGAGGAAGTCAGCACCACTCTGCATCTGAGGCCTCATTTCCCATTCCTTGTCCCAGCCCACTGGTCACCAATCCGTGGCTTACTGCCTTTCACAAGATCCCAGGATAAACAAGTAAAAACATAATCATAATAATGGAATGAAAGCCAGGTTCAGGAGAGCCCACCCGCCACCCAGGAGCATTCCGGTTGGGGTAATAGAAGCACAGGTGGGAGCCCAGGCAACCTTCTGATGGCTGAGTGACTCTGTCATCTCCCATAGAGACATTTCCCCAACCCCAAGACAGAATATGCCCCACGCTCTAGCCACCTCAAGGAATAGAAGGACACACCAATAGGCACCTTATACAGCTCCATGCACGGCCACCAGGGGGCAGACCGGAGTCCGCATAACCCCTGCCGCTGGCTGGAGTGGTGGGCTCACGCTGAAGATGGCTGAGAGCAGCTCCTCTGGCTGGAGCTGCGGCGACTCAGGACAAAGGTAGATGAGTTGCTCTTCTTGCTGACGCTTGTCTCTCCAGGCCGGCTGCCCTTCAGGTAACGGGCAGAGCAGCAGAGGAAGCGTTGCACAAGTTCGTGGAAGAGGTGGCCCGTGAAGAGCATGTAGATCCAAGGGTTGCAGCAGCTGTTGAGGCTGGCCAAGAGCATGGCGATGATGAAGGCAGAAGCTGTAGGGTGGGTCGGGAGGAAAGGAGAACAAGGGGTCACGCTGGGACCATCCCAGACCTGCCTGCTGCAGCGGCCATGGTTGTTCCTCCAACAGCCATCTCAGGTACCGCAGACTGGATCACAAGACAAGGAACCAACCAGGCACAGCATGTCTTTCTTCCACAGCCTTGCTCAGGGTCCATTACCCGAAATAACTAGGACTCGGTACAACCCTAACGTTACCTCACCCTTGCCCTTACCCTCCAGCTTCCCCAGGCACTGAAAGCCTCTTTCCTTCAGCGGATGCTGCATGCATCTCGTCACTTGCTCCTTCATCCATCACCCAGCAAATGCCTGAGTGCCTGCTACTCTGACACCAAAGAACACAGGGGTGCCCAGGAGATGCCAGACCTCGTTTGCATAGCCCAGCCAGTACCAATCGCTATATCTAATCACCGTATCTCCCCGGGGCTTCAGTTCCTTCATCTTTACATAGGACAATGAGAATCTCCATCCTGTCTGGAAGCCAGCAAGGTTCAAAAAGTGCCAGGTACATAGGAGTGCCCAGGAAGAGGTGGTGGCTGTGAGCACATGCCAGGCACCCCACTGGACTCTGTGAACACCAGAATGAAGAGACAAACTTACTTCAAGCAGAAGGAATAAAAAAAAACCGAAATCTGCGGGGCGGTGGTGGCGCACGCCTTTAATCCCAGCACTCGGGAGGCAGAGCCAGGCGGATCTCTGTGAGTTCGAGGCCAGCCTGGGCTACCAAGTGAGTTCCAGGGAAGGCACAACGCTACACAGAGAAACCCTGTTTCAAAAAAAAAAAACCAAACAAACAAACAAAACAAAAAAAAACCGAAATCTAGGTTTCTTTCACTGGCCTTAAGTCTGAAGAGTGGAGACTGTTTCTGACAAGAGATGAGTCTAGGTGCTTCTCTAGAAACCCAGCGGAGATAAACAGTGAGACAAGATTCTCTGCCTGGCTGCGAGGAAAGACCCAGGATGGGGGCTGACACCCCCACTACCCCCCAACCCCCAACCCCCTGCTTTTCTGTCTTTCGGAAATACTTCCAAAACTCACTCCAGAAGTCAAGATCTCAACCCAGGAAAGAGATCTCCCCAGGGAGGCAGGAATGGCAAGATCTCGGTACAGAGAACAGAAGCTTGCTAGTGAAGTCCCCAGCAGCCATGGAAGAGGAGCGGCTGGGAGGCCTGAGGTTCACAGAGTGGCAACCCCAGGGCACAGCAGCTCCTGAAAACCTGGATGAAATGAAAGTTCTCAGGCCCTTGGGAGGCACTCAGCAATGGTGGAACAGGCCCTCGGGGGTTCTGAATGGCAGCCATATTTAAGAGCAACTGATCCAGTTCATTAGTATGCCCACTGGCACAGAAGCAAGCTACAATAGACAAAAAAAAAAAAAAAAAGTGATTCTTGCAAAAAGTGTTTTCAGAAATCCAAACTGGAACATCTAATCCCTAAAATAAAAACAGTAACAAACAGAGAACAACAGAGGAAGAAAAGCCAATATGATCAGATTCCTTTGTTGTTGTTGTTGTTGTTGTTTGTTTTTTGTTTGTTTGTTTGTTTGTTTGTTTGTTTTTTCAAGACAGGGTTTCTCTGTGTAATTTCAGTGCCTGTCCTGGATCTCGTTCTGTAGATCAGGCTGGCCTCGAACTCATAGAGATCCGCCTGGCTCTGCCTCCCAAGTGCTGGAATTAAAGGCGTGTGCCACCACTGCCCGGCCAGATTCCTTATTTTTATGAAAGGGGATTTTCTATTTGCTTCTGTTTGCCTGGGTAAAGAGAAGAAGAAGAAGCGAAATAGTGGTGCGATGCCTTAAGGTTAAAATCACCCACAAGACTAAAAATAGACTATGGTCAAATCATAAAAGAGGCAAAAATCAATAAAGGCCAAACAAACACAATGAAACAAACCATTAGCCCCAGAGAAGACGGAGATGAAATGAGAGGGAATCTCATAGCCAGACCCAAAGGCTCCAGCCTGGCTGGGTAGAGTACAAAGTATAGACTGAGCAGACCTGATGAGGAAACCCAGCATTTCAAGTGCTCCCAAGTTAGAAAGTTTTTGTGTGTTGACGTGATTCCCCAACTGGAAAGTGCCACACCCGACCTCATGTGATATGTCAGCCAAAACCCAACAGCACTAAAAGCCCTGTGTAAAATTCCCTTTGGGCTGCATGTGCATAGTGTACATGTAGCACATATGAATTTCATGGTTAGACTCAGGTCCCAACCCCAAGACAGATGATTGCCTATGTGCAAATATTCCAAAATCCAGAGAAACACCTCTGGGTCTAGGTGTTTTGGATATGGATCTTCTCCCTGCATAATCTTGGTGGGTCACCTGAAGCCACTGACATCATGGTTATGCATTCAGAATGACCGAAGCATGGAAACATTGTCAGCCCATGTCATGGTGCTTCTCCAATGGGGTAAGACCATGCAGGCAGGCTGGGTCAGCACCTCTGTCTAAGGCTTCCCAAGAAGGTGCAGCTCCCAGAGCGGTCTGCACCCCGGTTTACAGAGGAGGGGAGTAAGTGTTAGAGAAGGAAGGGGACCCCCCCACCGGAGGGTACACACCACACCTTTCCACCCAAAAATAATAGAGCTAGCTCCTTTTGAAAACAGGTTCTCATTCTTGTGGTCTGAAAAGGCTCCTGTTAGCAGATCTCAGCTCCAAGCCAAGGCTGCCTGAGCAAGTGCACAAAGGCAGTGTGGACCACAGAGAGAAAGAATATCCCTGTTCCTAGGACAAATACAGAGTCCCTAGAGGTGAGTGCCTGGGAGAGGACTTTCGATACCTCCAATGGGATCATTATCCTTCTCTCCAGATGTGTGCCCCCAAGCACGGACCCAGAAGTCAGCAGACCGTGGCTCATGGGCTAAAGTCTGCCTGCACTGTGTTTATCAATAAAGTTTTATTAGAATGTATCTATGGCCATCTATTCACAGGTTTTCTATGGCTGCTTTTGCACTTTAGGGGCAGAGTTGAACAATTGTGAACAAGACCTTGAACCCCAAAGCCTAAAGAATTTGTCATCTGACCCCAAATGGAAAAAATAAATAAATAAAAATCAGGCAGTCCTTGATGAAATGCCTATAGGAGGGGCAGGTGTTAAAGGGTAGATACTGAGCTGGGCGGGGGTAGCGCACACCTTTAATCCCAGCACTGGGGAGGGAGAGCCAGGCGGACCTCAGTGAGTTCAAGGCCAGCCTGCTCTACAGAGTGAGTTCCAGGACAGGCACCAAAACTACATGGAGAAACCCAGTCTCAAAACAAACAAACAAAAAAAAAGTAGATACTGAGGGCCCCAGAGGTGGGTGCAGACCCCAGAGCAAGCGCACTTAGGGCAGTGTGGGCCCTGGAGGGGGCGTGCAGACCCCAGAGCAAGCGCACTAAGGGCAGTGTGGGCCACAGAAAGAAGATCCTCCTCACACTACGCTGAACAGAATTAAATTGTGCCAGAATCATATCTCTGAGTCACACAGATCGGGACAAGGATCTGGCTCCAAATTTTGGAGCTGTGTGTTCTTGGGGAAGTTACTCAACATCTCTGTACCTCTGTTTCCTCATGAGATGGGAAGCCAAAGCTTTCCTCCTCATAGGAATGTAGTGAGACTGATAGGCTGACAAACAAGTGTGGTTCAGAATTCAAATTCCTCAACAGCAAGCATAGCCTGCATATCATCACATCCCTGCTGCAATGATGGGGATGCCCTTCATGCACACGTTGCTCTAGTAATTCCCAACAGAGTTAGCCTCCTGCATAGGAAACAGGCATGCTTGTATTCCCCGGGCTCGGGTGTGTCTGGGAATGTGAAGCACCCTGGGTGGGGCAAAGATGCAAGACCCCATAGCTGAGCATCTCAAAGCTCCACAGCCATATGGCTGTGTCTGTCACCGACTGATTCTAGAGTGTGGCTCTTGGGCCAAGAACATCAGCAGACACGTGGAGTAGACACTTGTGCTGGCATAAGAGGCCCACACCCTGAAGCCTGCATGGTCAAAGTGCCCAACTCTACCAGCTTGTCAGTTTCTGGAAAATTTACGCACTTTGACATGGGCTCTCAGCTCCACCACAGAACAAATAACTCCCAGTGGACACAAGCACCCTTGGCTCTCGCTGTTTTTCTCAGTGCCCGGGAAATATCTAGCCTTGTATTGCAGATTGGGGGGACCTACATAGCTTGGAAACGCCAAGACTTTCTTCAGCTGGGGCATAAGCCAGGACTCGCCTGCTGTGAGCATGTGTGCAGCCCTCCCCTCTGCCTTCTGCTTACCAGCCTTACCTCCTGGAGGTCCAGGACCACATCATCCCTTGATGCTCCCCCACACTGAGATCCTGCCCATGTTTATCTTCTTTCCCAACACACAGACTAGTTATGGAAAGCTTGCAGGGGCATCCAGGCTATAGCCCACAGGCTATATGCAGCCCAGGAAAGCTATGGATGCAGACCTACACAGTTGTAAACTTACTGAAGACATCACACTATTTTTTTTTTTTTGAAGCTTGACTGTGCACTACGCAAGTATGAACTCTGTCAACAACACCATGTCTCAGTGTCACACAAAATAAACATATGTATGTTCTCAAAACCTGCAGGCTGTGAATTGGACATCCTTGAAATCTAAACACGTAACCCAAGACAATTTTCTCCTTTGTCGGGTGTTGCCCAGAAAAACCAAAAGGTTGGACACATCTTCAGTCTAGGGGTGCTGACTGACCTATCTCTGCCTTTAGGCAAGTCCAGTAGGCTGTAAGATGCTGTGGTCCTACCCCACAAGAAGAGGATGCTGCAGTCTCATCCCTTCAGGAAGAGGATGCTGAGGCCTCACCCATTCGAAAAGAGGATGATGTGGTCCCACCTCTTTAAAAGGGGAATGCTGCAGTCTCAACCCTTCAGGACTCACAGCTCACCCTTCAGCTGCCAGAGTGCAGGCTGCTCAGTGCTCACAGTGGGGGTCTCTTGTTGCCTCTGGACAAAGGAGTGGCCA